AAACTAAAGTCTAGAAAGAGAAAGGCACTTGTCTGTAGTCACAAACTCAGTTCCTGGTTTTGTAAAAATGTGTAAAGTAGAGAAAGAAGCAACTGAAAAGTTGTGGAAGGAGACAAAAGGAAGGAGCTGGTGGCCAAAAGCAAGCTTTGCTTTTTTTGTCCTGGATCTTCCCAGGAATCCTAGCCTCAGAGACGAAGGGCCATCTTTGAGAAGCCAGTGATCTCCAAACTGAGACCTCAGAGGTGTGCGTTTACTAGAAAAGCGTGGAGTTTGTTCCCTGACAAACCCCAAGCGTCTAGAACAGTGCCTGCCTACAGTGGGTGCTTAGTAACTATTTAGGAATAAACACAGCTGCCTTGGAGTTCTTTCCTGGCCGAAGGATAGAAGTGAGGAGAGAGAAAGAGGAGATCTTAAATAGCGCCCCCTCTGTCATTTATCCAGAGCTTCTCTGAGGACATCCATTTCACAATTTAGGCTTCCAGATCCACCTCTGTTACCAAGAGGGATCTATAAAAAACAACCATTTGAACCTGTGGCTCCCACTCTGAGAGGCCGCAACGACTGGGGGCTGCAGCTATTTCATGACTCGCCAAACATCGTCTGTTGTCTGATAAATAATGTCTCTCAGACAAAACAAGCATGACTATTTTTAAAAAAAATGTAAATAGGGCGGGGATTAATAAATATTAATCTGTTTTTTAAATTACAGAATATATAGAAACCGTTTGTCATTGCGTATCAATGAACACTGCAAGTATAAATCCAAGCAGGTATTTTATTATTTTCTTGATATTCAAAAGGAATCCCCTGCTCACAATGTGGGGAAATCACTGCTCTGGACCTATGCCCTCATTTCACAGGTAAGGTTTTATAGATTCTTCCAGAGAAGGCGAGGGACTGGTCCAAAGTCACTCAGCCCTTTGGTAGCAGAGCCCGGTGTGAATACAGGTCATCTCCGTCCTTTTCACTACACCACATTCCCTGAGGGGGCATTTTCCCTAACACCTTGATCTGAAAGGACTGTCCAATTCAACTTATTTTATTTCTGAAACAGAAATACTAATAGCACGGACTGTGTGCCAGGCACTGAACGCTTCACGTGCCTTATGACCATGGCCCTCACATTAACTCAACGAGGCACTTGCCATTGTTATCCCCATTTTATAGGTGGGGAAAAAAAAGGGACCTGGAGGAGTTACAGTTTGCACAAGAGACGATGTGATTAGTAAGTTGCAGATATGGACTGTTTGACCCCAAAGCCCAGATTCTCAGGCTCTTTGCTAAACACAACTTAAGGGGTAGACATTTGTGGAAATCACTGGTCTCAGTTGAAACAAAATCCAAGGGCATCGAAAGGCAGCGCTCAGTAGTGCTAGCTCTAGTCCCATAGCAATTGCTGTGGGCCAGGAGGGGCAGGAGGCAAGGAGCCCTAGGAGAGACCAGTCCAGACAGCCATAGCTCGAGTGGAGAACATGGAGACTCAACAGCAAACCACTGAAGTGCTTCCTAAAAATCCATTCCCCAGGCCCTACTCCTCAGCAATTCAGAGATTCTCTGGTGTGGAGCTGGAAAATCTGCAGTAATTACAAACATCCCAGCTGCTTTTGAGCACACCCAAGTTTGAGAACCAGAGGCCTGGGAGATCCCAGACAGCGGGGAGAACAAAGCAACCCAGAAAGCAAGGGTCAGCAGCTGGACCACCTCCAGGCTCAGAGGAGCCTAGCTGAGCCCCAGAAAGCGTGCTTGATATTTCACACACCAGCCGCTTCCCTCGGTCCAGTTCTCTGAAGATGGGAGGAGGGGCGCCTGTCACGTTTCTGGGTGTGCAGAAAGTTTGCGTGTGTTTGTTTAGAACAAAGCCTATACTTAACTGGCACAAGTGAAACAGATTTTATAAATAGATGTGAGCATGAATGGTTTTTATGATTAGCTTGTTTTCAATCACCATGCTTGACCGGTGTCTGTGTTCAACTAAGTAAATATTTCTATGGTGATAGTATACACAATACAATGGCCATTATTTAATGTTAATACAAGTACCATATGGGAGGTCTTATCATGCGAGAGCCCCAAAGCATAATAAAAGCAGATATGAGTAGATAGGCAAGGGTGGGCCTTGCTGTCCAGTAGGCTTGATAAAACATCTGTTCTGGCAAATGTCGGCCATGCGAGTATTTATGCAGTGATGGTTCTGCCTGGGGGAACTTTAGGAGCAGCTCAGATTGCCAGGCGCTCCATTTTTTTCTTCTTACTCACTTGGTGACCTTGGATAAGTCTCCATGCTAATTGTTTAAACATTCATCCCTCAAATTCCCAATTCTTAGGTGTTTGCATGTCTCTCCTGAGAGTAAGGAAGATTAACACATGGTGGAATCTTGAGTTCTTTATTTAGAACAAGGAGACGGAGAAGAGTGGCACTGAAGTAATGCCTCATTATTTTAAGCTGTACAAAATATAAAAGGGAGATAATCTAGTACATTTTTCATTTGCAACTGGAAATCTGAGAAAACTTGAAGTTTCCCGAGATTAGTAAAGCATCTTCATAAAGAACAAAGCCTCCCAGGAAATGACTTTCTACTCAGGAGGGACAAGTGTGATGACACAGGCGTGAAACCAGGATTATTCTCCACTGGCAAAGGGCGAATGAGAATGTTGAAGCTTTTAGTGCTGTGGAAAGGGACATTTTATCTTTTCACAAAAGCCTTAATTCTTTGATATGTCTTTTGTGTCTTAACCTAAGAATACCACAATTTTAGTGCGATGGAATGTTCACAGTCTGTTTATATATTATCTGGCGTCACCCTCAGAGCTTGGCATGAAGAGATAACAGTGTTCAATTCTAGGCCTTAGTGTTTTGCATCTATATGTCCTACTGAAAAATATCAGCAATAAGAACTGTTAATATTTGCTTTACACTTTACATCGACAAAATGCTTTCACATCCTTTATGTCATCTAGTCCTCACAATCACAGCAGGTGGGCACTCTCAGCATCCCGTTTGAATGATGAGCAGACAACCTCAGAAAGTTACGATTGGTCCAAGTGCAGAGATGAGTGAATGTCGAGCTAAAACTCAAACCCAAGACTTCTGCTCTCTAAGCCTCACGTTTCTGAAGACTCTTCTCATCTGTAATTTAGAAATCAGAATTTGGCCTGGGGAAGAGGAGCTCTCCTGAGCAGTCGGGTGTGCTCTGATGAACTCTAAGATTAAGTTTGAGGGCTCTTGTTTCCTTCCTTCTGGAAAAGCAAGCCCCCGTCAATGCTGGCCTCTCACAAGCACTCTGCCATCTCCCTGACTTCCCTGGGAATCAGTCTGGCTGAAAATGGAGCACAAATTTGTCTCATTTACTATCAAAAAGGAAGTTAGACGTAGGTGAGAAGAGACGCTGCCTGACAAATGTTTAAGGAAAGAGATTTGAACTCCCAGCTGTATTATCTAATGCAATGGGATTCCTTCCAATTGATTTACTTCAGTCACCATAAATCTAGGAACAATATGTTCTTAAACATTTTTGGAATGGCCACTAGGGAAATTGGTTAATACAATATATAGCATGTGGGCTAAGAAGGGAATTACACGCATCTCGTTAACCAACTGTTCTATCTGAATCCCTGGCTTCCAAGTGCTAGTGAAAACTGAGGGAGGGAAAGGCGCATTTACAGGTTCCAGGCAAGACCGTCTTCCAGTCCCTGCCCTGAAGCCATCTCCCCTCATGCCTCCTTCTAGAGCCTGGAACCAGGAATATCACCCCATCTGACCCAAGAAACAGCTCACCCTGGTCAGGACCAGGGGCTCCTTTAAGTGGCTGTGGGAATTCTGTGTGCACATGTGTTCACATGCTTGTGGCCTGTTTGTTCAGTCACAGAAGGAAAGGGGAGGGGATGGCAACTCAGGGTCTTAACAGTAGAGGCTGAATAGTGCTGGCCCGTCTGTTGCTGATTTCGACTCTACTCTGCTTTCTTGACCAACTGCCATGCATGTTTCTTATTATTCTGTGGATTTGTCTTGCACTGATGGGTGGGAAAAAGCTGGTGAAGCAATAATCATTTAAGTGAAAGCAATGACTCTCTGGTGCCCTCTACAAATTTCCCACAGTCTTCGCTAATGCCTTGGGGCCCTTCAGGGTTTAGAATTACAGCTTTCAGTAAATATTCTTAGACTCACACTCACAGGGGCTGCAATGAAGCAGCACCGTCTGTCATGACAAGCCTTCACGAAGCTGTGCTTCCAAACATTGATGAGAACTGAGGAACAACCATCAGAGCAGCACTAGCGTTTAGCACATGGATGGCACTATTCTAATCCCTCTACATGTATTCACTGATTTAATCCTCAGCAGCACAAGGAGGGAAGTGCTATCATTGTCCACTGTGATAAATGGGGAAACTGAGATACAGAGAGGTTAAGAGACTGCCAAGGTCACACAGCTAGTAAACAGAGGAACTGGGACTCAGACTTGGACAGTCAGACCTCAGCATCTCTAAGCTTTATCTCTTTTCAGGAAGCTAAGAATGGAAAAAGAACGAAGTTAAGAGTTATTATTTTGCACTAAGCCTAATGTCACTAAGTAAAGAGATGAAACACTCATTAAATAAGTACTCCTTCCTTTACAAATGGGGACATTCTGAAGTAAGACTTGTGCTATGTTTCTATGTCAATACCGTTGCCAGCCATAAGCTCATGGGATGATTATCGTATTTCAAAGGGTTTGAGTGGGAGACCTGTGGTTTCTCCACTGAGTGGAGAAAGCTGTTGTGTTCTGTGTATCAAGATGACACTCCTAACCCAATGTAACTTGGGCTTCTATGCTACGTAATTTTTGTAGTTGTGGTGACAAGTTGTCCTGAGCCAGTCAATCCCATCTTTTCTTCCATGATAACTGGCTGGGGGTGAGAGAGAGGTGACCTGGATCTATGGAGGAGTCCTTTATTTTCTTCTAATCAAAGTAAATAACCCAAATGAGGTGGCTTTGTCTTTGCTAATTCTGTGTTCTCACCAGCTAAACCATCATCCTGGCTTTCATAAGAGAAGAAAAGAGAAATTTGCGGATGATGGCCAGCAGAGTCTCTCAGGTGTAGAACATGAGAAGGACGCCTATGGGAATTCGGAGAAAGGTGGAGGAGGTAAGGTTGGAGAGTCCAGTTAGAAGGCAGAAGCCACTCTCTGAAGACTGTCTTGCATTTCAGTATTTTCACACAGATTCTCTCTGGCCCCTTTTTAAAAATAAGGATATATACTCTGAGGATTCTTTTCTCATAAGTGATAATATTGATTTAACTCTCACTGATATAAATATCCTGAAATGATACTATTCTGACCTGATTCTAAAGCTTCTGTTAAACAAAACAAAGTGTTGCAGTGTTATAACAATCAACTTTGGGGATAGATCTGATGAGTAAGTTACTTCCCCTAAATCCTTCTTATTTTTTAACAGTAAGTGTTCTTAAATGTTAGGAAAATGTGTGTCGTGTCATTTTTCCATTATAGCCACACTTCTCTTAAACTAGAAGATACAAGGCCCATCTATATACTGCTAGCAGAAAAATAGATTGCATGATATTCCCAGAAGACAATATCAACAGAAGCCTTAACAACAAGCATAACCAAGAAAGAAGGGGGAAAAAAAATACTGTGGAGTTAGCCTAAATATTCATTAATACGTGACATATATTACACATAGATATGATACATAAATATAATGAAATAATATATAGCCATGAAAGATAGAGAATGTTTAAATAACATGGAAGCATGGCCTGCTATACTGTCAAGTGAAATAGCAAGTTAGAAAACGTGTGTTGTGTATGTGTTGTGGTTGTAAAGAAAGACAAACTCAAAGGGTACCTAGATAGAACACTGAGACAGCGGCTTTATTTCTTGGTGGTAGGACTCTGTGATTTTTGCTTTTGTCTCTTTTCTTGTTTATATTTTATAAATTTTTCACAATAAAATATCAAATAAATACAACATGGTGATATTTAGAATTTTATTGTGATGTCTCTACTGTACTCCTTAGTGTTGATATAAAGCTGCTTACATTTACCACCATAATTAATTCCACAGATTTCTCCCCACCCCACCCCACCCCCACACACTCATTTCTATTTAACATTTCTTATCCTGACCAGGCCTTTTAATAAAGATGGCTGCTATCTGACCAGCTGGATCATTTAAGTTATTTCTTCTGTTATTATTTATAATTAGGCTTCCATAAACTAATACTTGTCATTGGCATTTATGATTCTTTTTTGTTTTTTCAAGGTTCATTAAGTCATTAATTAGTCCATCTTTGCAGTATGTTTTCCCACGTCCTGAGCTGAGATTTTGCTTTATCCACAGTGTCTTTGAGCAATATCTCCTCAAATCAACACAGTGATTCAATTCAATAAATAGTTTTTGAGTATCAACAAGGTACAGAACATGACACCAGGAAGAGTGGGAATGCACCAATGAACAAGACAGAGCAGCTCAAAGTCTAGGGATCGAGAAAACACAGACGTAAGTCACCCCAATGCAATAATTTCACAAGCAGTAGACAAGCTCCCACTCCAACTCCTGGATCCATCCTATACCTCTTCCATCTTCTTACTAAATGCTCACTTGCTTTATTCCTGTTAAAATATCACAAGTTGGAGATAACAACAAATGGGAAAGTGCGATGTTATACATCTTTGATAGATCTAAATTCCCTGAAAGCAGGAAAGTGGTTGCATTTTGATGGTGATTTCCTAATTAAAATCCAAGCCATTCGCTAGGAAGCCAAGCTAGATAAGTTATCTCTTTGTGTCATCCAAGTTCACTGGCTTATCCCCGAGTGTACACTCTCATGAATTCAAGCCACGTAAACATTTCATTTCACTTTGCAGGTGAGGAGTGGGAACACAGGGGCTACAAATTGTCTTCTTTCCCCAGAAGCCCATTTGGAAGTCCACATTAGGCCACAGGATTACTGCTTAAGGGGTGGGGTCCAGATCTCTCAGGTATTTTTCCAAATGCAGGCTGCCCTCCACTACAATTAGAGTTTGGGGCTGGAGACTGGATGTGAGATGAGCTTTTGAGGCAGGGTTTACTCCAACTGCTGCTACACCATTGGGTAGATGAAAAAACCAGGCTTAATGTTTGTCACCAGTGTCTTTTTCCATCTCTTACATGTACAATGATGATCGGTATCTTGTTGCCTTAGAGACTGTCAGGCCTGGCATCTCTGTTTATCTGCAGAACGCTTGGTGGTTTCTCAAAACAGGTGTGGCCTGGTTGAGCAGAGCATAGCCACAATTTTTTTTTTTTTTTAAGAAGTTGCTTTGACTCTAGCAGCTTTCACCAACTTTCCAAATGTCACTAGTCTCCTTCAGGGGCCATTTGTCAAAGTTGCTGGTAAACTAGTCTCCTACCTGTTTTTTCTCTGTATTTTAAGAGATGCAATACTAGATAGACAAAAAGTTTATTGAAGCAAAAACTGGTTCCAAGTGACAAATTAGTTGTGGCCTGCACATTGACAATTAATGGTCCTCTTGCTGGTGATGTGGCTTCTGAGGTAAATTACATGAAGCAAACCAGTTCTCATTTGGTAAACTCCAGTGGGTTACAGAGCCGAGGGAGCTGATCTTATCACTAACCACCATATATATAGCCCCACTAGTGTGGAGCTTATGACCAGTAAAAGCACTGAAAATGTGTTAACATTGGGTCAGCTTAAGCAGGAAAAACAGACCCAATTCAGCGATGGGCATTTCACTAAAAAAGGAAAAAAACAATGTCCAAACGAGACACCATCTGGAGAGAGGCCTGAAGATCAGTGGGTATGGAGAGTTGGAGGCGCTGCGTATGCTTTGCTAGAGAGGAGATTTTAAGAAAGCTAAGAGAGTTGACTTCAAATATGGGGAAAATAACATGGGAATGCACAGGTAGCCATATTTGTTAAGGCACCAAAGGGCAGAACTAGGTCAGAAAGGTAGACTTAACGTTCTAACAACAAGAGCCCATCTTACAGTAGTAGAATGGTTGCCTCAAGACAAGTGAAAATCCCTATTCCGGGAGCAAATTTGTCAGGCTTGCTGTGGAAGGAATCCCATACCAGGAGGGAGATTGGATTAGGCCTATAAGGTCCTTTCCAAATGTAAGATGCTATCTGTCTAATTAATTGCCAGTCATAGGCTCAGGTGTTGTCCTGGCCTCTCATCTCTGTGTCATTGAACCTTGGATTCACTTCTCCTTAACTGTTAGATAATCAGTGGCTTCACATGTTTAAATCAGCAGTCTGCAGGAACAGAGATGGAGAATAGCTAAATTCCGGGACTTCCAACCTGATTAAATAGCGCCCCAGCGCCTTGGCTTAGGAAGATCCAGGAGATCATGAGGCCAGTCAGACGTGAGTGTTAACACCATGTGAAAGCAGCCAGGTGCCCATCTGTATTTGCCTCCTCGAAGGAAAAATTAATTGCTATATTTTCTGGGTGTTTGAATTAGAGATGTTTTAATCTTTAGTAGGGGTTTTTGTTTGTTTGTTTTTCAGCCTGGAGTTCCAAAATGCATCATGATAAATACTTGGGTGGCCAACCCTCTTTTGTCTCTGTTGTTGGTGAGAGTTAAAAGTGTGCAACCTGCAGTCAGGTTTTGGTCTCAGCCCAGTCCCCTGTGAACTGTGTGGCCTGTGCATGCTGCTTCACTTCTCTGGGCCTTCATTTTCTCATTTCTGAAATGGAGTACCCACTATTTTCCAAGTTTACAGGAATCACATGAGAAAATACATGTGAAAGCCCTTTATATGCTTTGAAGCACCTTTCAAAATTTAGCTAGAGTTATTCAAATTTTCTCAACCATGTGTTGTGGTCAGTGTAAAATATAAAAAATTCATTTTTCACTCTTTGCATTAGTCTTTTTTTTTTTTTTTTTTTTACCTCAGAAGCAACTCTTCTTGGTCTTCCAATAAGTTCTGTAGAAAGACAAAAGATTGATGAGAACCATCGTTTTGAGTCTACACTTGTAAGTGAAACAGAACATGAGGTGAGCATCTGGAAAATTATGTTTTCCTCAAACTCTCAACTTTAGGTTGGCATAGATGAGCAAATAGACAAGCACATTAAAAACTGGTTTATTAAGCAAGACTAACAACTAAGGGAATAAGCCTGGAAATGCACAGGGAATGGAGATTTTCTCTCAGTATCAAGTCCCATGCTTCCATTATTTGTGGCTATTAATTACGAGGACTTCACATCCCATCAGAATTTCACCCTGAGGGTAGAATGTTCATAGAGAGTCCCTCCAGTGCCAAGCAGAAAAAAGAACCTTCCCTAGAAGAGATTTCACCGAACAGGATTTAGTAGAGCTCATGACCTTCTGGAAATAAGGCTGTGTGACCATGCTATATTAATAATCTCTGCCAATAACTATCTTGTTTCTTGATTCAGGCCTTTTCTGCATAACATTGAGGCTATATTTTTTGTTTTCTTTAAGCACAATCATAGAAGATAAGGAGCCACAAAACTTCACTCTATTTTCAAAGTTGCAGTCAAAATATTGCACTCTACACTGTGGCAACGAGACACGCCCTGAAGACAGAGAGCTTTACAACTTCACAAGAAAACAGAGAAACCAAGATATCTTGCGATATCAGGTACATACGAAGAAAAATATGTCCTAACCTTGAAATCCCATCTTAGGGGTGGGCAGGACCAGGCCATGACAAAACCGAGAACCTGGTTCATCCTCATCCACTTTCCCCCTTTTTTCCAGAAGGACACTCAAGACTTGGAGCTACTTCACCCAACAAGAGTTTCACACTGGGGTCTCCCATCTCTACCTGCTCAATACTTCAGGCCCATACATTTCCTGACATCAGATTCTTCACCAAGAACCTTTTTGTGGTCCATTCTCTTAGGGCACAATTCTCTAGTGATAGGAAATGATCCTGTCAAACCATCCATATTCATTAACCTTGATGATGATACCTCTGTTAGGTACCTGCTTTGTGTGTAAAAAGTGAACTTCTGGAGATACAATTGTACGTGAAAAGACTATTTCAGTTGCAGAGATTTCATCCATAATGGCAAGCTGGCAGAAAAGAGCAGGTGCTAACAAAACTTGGGGACCTGTAAAATCATGCCAAACAGAAAGTGGCCCGCATTGCCCAGGCAGGAGTCAGTGCATGGGGAGGATATGCTCTTCCACTTTTGCAAGTTCCTGCTATGCTGGTTCACTCATAGGAAATGGGCAATGCTTTTTTCTGACACTTTCACTCCAGGTCTCCAGCCTGTGGAGTGTAAAACTAAACTGAAGTCTAGGTAATCAGGCCTTTATAAACAAAAGCAGAAAATATATCTTGGCACACAAATGCTCTCAGTTTTGTTTCTCTCTCTCTCTCTCCATATCTATTAAACACTTCCAGTGGTGCCGATGTATGAGCATGGCAACTGAAAACTGGGCTTAAGTTGAGCACAAAATCAATGCATTTGGGCATTCATTCATTCATTAATTTAATTTCAGTTACTTAAGCATGTACTCAACAAAAGCTTATGGAGCCTTTACTATATGCTAGGCAGTATGCTGGTCCCTGGGGATATAGAAAGAACAAGGTATGGCCCCTGGCTCCAGAAGATTTCAGTCTACTGGACAAATGAACAGCAAATTAAGATGCAGTTGTGATAAGCTCAGGGTATAATAGGAACTTAGAGCACAAGCATCTAGAACAGTCTTACAGGGTCAGGAAAAGCTTCATAGAAGACATGGTATCTAAGTTGAATCATGAAAGAAGCAGAGGGGGCAGCCTATGAAGACAGACCAAAGGTTTACATTCTTGGCAGTGAGTCCAGGCTAAAAGTAAGAGAGATCAGAGTTTATGATAGGAGCAGTGAGTTTTTCAGTATGACCAGACACAGAGCAGGACAGGGAGAATTGAAAGAGATGAATTTGGAGAGAAAATCATGAAGAAGTTCAAATGGAATGTTACACGTTTTTGGTATCATTTACAGCCAAAGGCCCAGCTGGGTAGAACTTCTCTGAGGGTGCCACTTGAATGACTAAGGTCATAGAACTATAATATTGGAAGGAGTTTAGAGGTAACGTAATATAACAGCTGCCCCCAGTGCATAAGCACTCTGCAAAACATCTAGACAGGTACCCAAGCAGCCTCCCTAGTGAGTACCTTCAATAGGAGGAATCCACTACTTGACAGAGCAGCCCTCTCCCTCCAAGTCCAAGAATCTGTGATGTTCTTCCATCTTTCTTCAAGGAGAGATCATCTGATGGTTCCTGCCTTCAAGGGATTTACATTTTAATGATTGTGTGAATGATCCATCAATTGCTAGATAAAATAATCTGGAAATAACTGAACTGATAAAACAGATGATAAAATAGTAGACTAGAGTGTAGTATTACCAGAAAACCTGAAAGCAGCCCAGATGTCCTTCAGTAGGTGAGTGGTTAATAAACTGTGGCGGGACATCCAGATAATGGAACATTATTCAGCGCTAAAAAGAAATGAGCTATCAAACCATGAAAAGATGTGAAGGAAGCAATGCATATTACTCAGTGAAAAAAAGTCAATCTGAAAGGCTACATACTGTGTGATTCTAACTATGTGACATTCTGAAAAAGGCAAAACTGTGGAGACAGTAAAAAGATCAGTGGTTGCCAGGAGTTAGGGGAAGTGAGAAATAAATAGGTGGAGCATGGAGGATTTCCAGGGCAGTGAAAATGGGCTGTACGACACTGTAACGATGGATCCATGGCATTAAATATTTGTCCAAACCCACAGAATTTACAACATCGAGAGTGAACCCTAATGTAAACTGTGGACTCTGGGGGATAATGATGTGTCAATGTAGGTTCATCAATTATCATAAATGTACCTCTCTGATAGGGGATGATGACAATAGGGGAGCTGTGTGTGTATGACGGCAGGGCTATGTGGGAAATTTCTGCACCTTCTGCTCAATTTTGTTGTGAACCTAAAACTGCTCTAAAAAGTAAAGTCTTTTTTTTTAAAAAAAAAATATGTAAATAGGTAAGGGCAAAATGCAATTCATGTGCATGAAAAATATGGTTGCATAGAAACATTGGCCATCTACAGATAAAGGCAGAAAGTAAAATAAGTTCAGAAATCCTGGGCAGTGCCTGTCAGGACTACCTGAAGGGAGGCTGGGAGAATAGGAAAGAGACAGCTGCAAGAAAGGGTGAACGTGGGCTATGTAGAAACGGGGTCAATTAAACAAACCTTGTTGACTCTGGGATCTGGCTGCTGCATCTCTTTTAAGTGTGGCTCAGGGACTTCCCACCAGGTTTGGGAAGGAACAGCTTCTGCTGGAGAGCTTGTATTCTGGATATCACACCAATCCAATAAGGTCTTGGAGACCTATTGATAGGAATGACATGAAATCTTTTATAAAGAAAATCACCCTCCACAATTTAATAGATGTCTACATACTTTAAGTCTGATTAAACAGAACAAACTCGATTATAGCAGCAGTAAATGATACCCAAACTATGGAGACTGGGGACACTCCTTCAACCCAGGTACCAAGACAGTCAGGAAAGGAAGATTTGAGGAGTAAATCGGACTTTAAGAACATATCACGCTTCATCCCATAGAAAGCTGCTCATAGGTCCCATTCTGTACCTTCTTTTACTCTCATTTTGGGTGTGAATTATGTTCTTATTCTCTTTTCCACATCCATGAGTCCTTTTTGGCTTTTTAAGGCCAGGTCTGTGTGGTTACAATTAGCAGGGGTTTCAAGCTCTTAATTCTGTTCTTCTGCCTCCAGGGAAAATTGTTTTCTATTGATTCTTAGAAAACTCAGCACCTCAATTTGTGCCTCATAAAGCAGGGATCCTTCTTCTTCTCAAATAATCCAGCTCTTCCACGCCAGTGTTTTGGAACCATCACTGTGTGACATTTTGGATTGTCTATGTGTATTGCCAGCCCCTAGGGTTGTTACTGAGCTCTCTCAGGCTTCCTTGGGACCTGCTACCTTGCATTCATTTCCTATCGCTACTGTAACAAATTACCAAAAATCAGTGATTAAAACAAAACAGATTTACTATCTTATCATTCTGGAGGCCAGAGGTCCTAAACTCAATGTGTGACAGGGCTGCATTCCCACTGCATTCTATGGAGAAGTCATTTCCTTTTCTTTTCCAGATTCTGGAAGTTGTCTGCATTCCTTGGTTTGTGGCCTTCTCTTTAATCTTCAAAAGTAGGAGTGTAGCATCTTTAAATCTCATTCATTCTCCTTCTGTCTCCCTCTCCTTTTTATGAGCCAAATGGTAAAAACATACAGTCTATGTCCTCGAACCAAAATACACTTATTCTGGAAGGCCAGAAAAGACTTCTGAGTCTCTTATATTTAGCATCATTCTATGCCTCAGTAGCAGCCTTTTCTTCAACATCAGCTTCTCTGGGCAAAGGAGTAAGCATTTGTACAACTTTGCAGTCAGGCGCCAGAATTCTTGTATATAGCACAATGCTCCTGAAGATTGGTCACCCTATAGACTGTGTGGATTGTTACTTCTGTGTCAGCCAGTCAATCAGTTCTTTGGAATCAAGAAATATCTATTAAGCTCCCGTTATTGTGCCAGGTACTCTGCTACATGCAGGGGAGACAGCAGTGAATAATATAGATGTTCAAGTATTACCAATGGAAAGCATCAAATAGGCAAACAGTGGAGCAAGAAGTGAAGCATAGCTGTTTGTTAAGCATGCCTTGATGAGCAGAATAGCAGACTGCAAAAATAACGTAATGCAAAGGAGGAAAGGTTGGAGTCTGGCTGTATAATAAAACTCTACTTTACTGGTTGCTCAAGAATAATCAGTAAGAATTAAAAGAAGTAGACCCCACATTCAGAAAGTTTTCAGTGTAACTGGGAAGACAGAATGTTATACGTAAAATGACATGAGAAGAATTACTCAATTATAAGCATAAATCAAGAGCAGGAGCAGGGGTCCAGAAGGAAGAATAATCTAACAGAATGAGGGGCAATTAGTGAAAGGAGTGGTTGGAGCATTAATGGAAGGAAGCTGAAGAGCAATGTATTGGGAGCAAAGGAAGATTTGGACATTCAAGAGAGTTTCCAACGCAGAGGAGGAATTGCTGGTGGTGGGATAAAATCGTTCTGCAAAGTGCATCCACATGGGTGCTGGCAAGTACAGATGAAAGTTGCTAAATAAATGTCACCTGTGGTTACAAAATTTATGCTTCTTGAGAGATGGGACTGTGTCTTATGTACCACTCTAGCAGTAGAACTTGAAGTAGTGCCTGGCACAGAGTAGGCAATCAGCAAATATTTGTTGAAAGAATAAGTGAATCAATAAATGAATATATAGATAAAGGGACCCATACGTCATAGCACTTTAGATCAGGGACAGTAATAGATAGACTTGGCTTACCTCTCTGGAAGGCAATAATAAACACCTGAAAGCAGGCGATTATCACCTGTCTTTGTCTGCATAGGGAGCCAAAGAAACCAAGGCCCAGAGATGGCCGGCCTTAAGTCACAGTCACAGCTTGTGCCTACAGATCTGAGCAGGAATGGAAGCTCAGGGCTCTTTCTATTACATACACCCCATAAAAGTTCTTACAGGCCTGGTTATAGAATCCCACAAAAACAAGAATGAGTAAAGAAACAGGATTGTTTCTAGGAACTTCTCTGTTTTTACAACTCCCCATCCTTATCTCTTTCAAGTCATCTGCTCCTCCCCAGTGTTTTTTGTGGCATCAACCCCCACCCCCTGGCCCGGGACTGAGAGCCACTGGCTAGACCAAGCCATTAGCTGATGGAAGAAAAGCCTGCAGACAGGGGAACTGACAGAGTGAAGTGCATTAGACTAAATATTCGCTCCAAAGGAAGTCCCAAAGCAATTAATTGCCACACTCTTTATGTAAACAATTTTCTCTTTCCTTCACTTTACCTCAGCAGGTCTTTCAATATCTTATGCTGTCCAGAATACCTCTGAAAACTGCCCTCAGCTTTTCTCAGTTTGGTCCTTTAGAACTGGGAATTTCTTTTAGCCATTGTCGCAATTAATTGGGGCTCTTAGATGGATTTTGTGAATAAAGTGATTTATGAAACACTGTTCTTCCAAAGAATAATTTTCCATCTATCAGGCAGAGAAGTTAAAGTGGGAGAAAATGGTGATGACGGAACTAGAAGGGTCTTGTTCCTCTGTCTCTGGTGTCCCCTGGAGTTTACACCTGAGCAGCTCCACCTCTTTTCCAACTCTACATTCCCTCACCAGGAGAAACCAAGATGGTCCTCGACAATGCAGAGCGATTCTCCAGCAGGGGACAAAGAAAGGAAGTAGAAATGAAATATAGACTGGGACAAGAGGGGACAGAAGAGCAACAGTAATATTGTGAACACAAAAAAGAGCTGTGACCTCTCAGATCCCCATCCCCAGATGTCTCTTCCCCTTTCTCGCCCAGCGCGCCAGGCAAGGCAATGGAGGCAGCTTTGAGGGTGAACCCTCGGATGTGTGTTGCTGAGTGGAGTGTTAGGTGGCAGGGGGCTTTGTCCGAAAGGAATGAGTGCTGAGGAGACCTGCTCATCATGGTCGGTGGCAGAGAATCAGATATGAGAAACTAACCAAGGAAGTCCATGAGAGAAAGTATGACAAGGAGGGGTGGTGAGAAGGGAAAGAGGAGAGCATAAATGGGCACTCCTGTGACACAGACCAATTTTCTGACAAACATTTGCTTAATCTCCGTATCTCTAGAATGACGGATGAATGGCTAACTGAATGACTCTGCTTAATGAATGTTTAGAAAAAGGAAGTAGCAGCCCCAGCAGAAAAGGGTTCCATCACTCTTTGGATCAGAACTAGCACTTGGCTCTGGCCTTGGAACATCTGCTATGACTTTCATCTCTTGGGCATGTTAAGGTTAGAAGGTCAGCAATACCTCCCCTTGCTTTGACTTCATTGGTCTCCAGCCTCCCTTATGATGGTGCTATTAAAGGGGGTATAACGTTGCCCCTCTTGGCTTGCCTACTCTTTGGGGATTTTCCTATAACTTTGAAGCATTTTTAATCAAAATTCAGTTAGGTGTAATCATGTAATTAAAATCCCTCCCAAGGAAAGGAGAAGGGCAAAATGAGGTCCTTGAGAGTCTTCTGCTTTTTGACTTTTAGTGGGTGTGCTTCTGCCTGAGGCTCTTTCTCAGGTAATTGTCCTGGTTGACTAAGCCCAGTGTTTTCCTCCTCTTCACCACATACCCCTACAGGACTGCCAGAGAAATTCTTCCTTTTTTGTATACTGAAATAAGCATCATATAAGCCTAGGTTTTCAAATAAAATAGATAGCCTGAGAATCATTTCAATTAAAAAGTAGATAGCCGGGAGGTACACTGTATACATTTAGCTCATGAAAACTTACAAGGAGATGAAACAAAGAGAGTTTAGGGTTCTCAATGAGGAACGCTCTCTATGGGGGTATCTGTCTTTGCACACTGAGGAAAGCCTGGGAGAGCACAGGGAGACAGCCCGAGCACATCTGCTCCCAGCAGGTACTATTTGTGTAGTATGTGAGGTTCCCAAAGGAGCAGATGGACCAGAGAATGCAGTAAGGTTGCTTGGTTCGGGGACAACCTGGAAAGTAGAACTTCAAGGACACTCTACAACTATTTCTGTGGCCACAGTCACACAGGGCATCTACTCAACACCATTTCAGTTCAAAAGACACACTCCCTTATGAGCCTCAGTGGGATAATGCACCTTGTGCTTACACGAGTAAAGGGGGAAAACACTAATCAAGGAGTAAGGGGGCCAGGAGCACATGAGCTCCTGCATCACACTGCTGAGGTTCAAATCATAGCTGAATATAATGCCCAATTCATATAATGTCCAAGAATTGAGGCAAGTTACCTGATGTCTATGTCTTAGTTTGCTTCTTTATAAAAAGGGAAAGATCACAGTGCCTATGCTCTAAGTTTATTGTGAAGGTTACACAGAAAGACATACTTAGAATAGAGTTTAGCCATAGTTAGTATGCAATAAATCTTAGCTATTCTTATTGTTAATCTTCCCAGTAAGATTTCCGGTATAAGAAATGTTCTGTTATAAAGTTACTCCAAACTCTGTAGCATCATTTTCTACTTATTTTCGAGCAACAGAAAGCTTCAAAAGAACTCTTTTAATATTAAAGTCTTCCAAATCTCTGTCCTCTGTCCTGTCTATTAGGCTCTAAGAAAATGTTAGATTACTCCTTATCAAGTTTATAGAATGGATTAGGTTGTGCCACTGAATGTGACCCCCCACAAGCATAATATATAAACTACATTGATCAACTGTGACTTTCCAAGAAACTTAGCAACATTACATCTTGACCACATTCCCATTTAAAAGGAATCTTTTAAAAATGGGAAAACCAGTTAGTGACTGTCTCCTGCACTCTACTCACTCTCATAAAAAAAAAAAAAAAAGGAAGCCATCATAAGCAGAAGTGAAACATGCAAAGCAAGTTATTCAACCTATAAGGCTAAGGTGAGGATTCTAAGTTGTCCAGTTAGTCCCGAGCAGTCAAAATTCCCTTTTACACTATCTTGACACTTTCCCTGGTTAGACTCTGTCACATCTGTGTCTCATTAACTTTTTCGTTTACAAGCAACGTAGTCCGGCTGCGCCATCTAACAGCCTCTTTTCCAAAAGCTCAGATTTTCAGACTGTCCCTCATCCACTTCACCTGAATAGTCACAGTATCTAAAAGCCCCTCCATTCTCCACCATGAGGAACTGGTTGTCTGAGTTCATGAGATGTACGTTCTGATCCAGAACTGAGGACCACTCCAGGCACCTATGTACTGGTCTCTGGCCAGCCCTCCAATCCACTTGCCACAACACAGCCATCATGATTATTTCAAAAGACAAACCTTACCAAAAACAAACTACCTTAAGTGGTATCCCACTCTCTTAGGATAAAAAATCAAATTTTTAACGTGGCAGACAAGTCCTTATAGATCCCAGCCTAAACCTCATCTTCATTTTGATAGAGCTTGTCCCTCATTCCAGCCAGACAAGCTCTATTTGTGTTTCTTAAATACGCTACCAAGAGTGTTTACACATGCTGTTCCATCCTCCTAGAATGCTCTTTCCACTGCCCGCCTTCAGTTTTGGCTCAGGGAACTCACGCATCCATTCAGTCTAGCTCAGGTCTGGTTTGGGTCCTTTTGTTTCCTGAATTTATAGCACTGATCTCACTTTTTAATTACATATTTATCTTTATAAGTATTTAATTAATACTTTAATACACTCTTTAGGATACAAACCCCAGGAGAATAGAGACAGTTTTACTTATTTTTGCCACCCCAATGCTTAGCACTCAGTTAGCCTTCACAAAACGTTTGTGGAATGAAAGCAGTTTTGTTTGATTCATTTAGTCTTATATACATGAAAGATTTAATTTAAAAAGTTAAATCAGATTCACTTACACATTTCATCATCAATCTTCTTTACTGAAATAAAAATGAAATTTACCCAAGACTGTGATTTTCCTAGAATATTACCAATGCGAGAATCTTTAACCGAATATTACCTTCTCAGTGAGACATTGCCCGACAACTGTTTCTAAAACTTAAATTCCTGCCTGAAAATTCTCTATTCTTCTTCACCCACCTTAATTTTTTCCTTAGCATTTATCAACATTTAACCTAAACTCTGCTAATTGTCTGTCTAGTTTATTGTCAGTCTCCCACTACTGGAATGTTAGCTCTGTGAGGGAGGAAATTTTGACTATTTTGTTCACAACTATATTTCCATGGCCTAGAACAAAGCTTAGAACACATTAAAAACTTATTAAATATTTGTCATCAAATACTATATCTTAACACTACAAGACCCATCAATTCTGATGCTAATATCTTCTCAACAAAACCATATATGCTATAAGGAAACAGATAGCTTTTTCTGATGTGATGGGCTTTCTGGACTGATGCTGTCCCCTGGCCACATGTGCCATGGAGCAAAGAAATGTGACTAGTCAAAACTGAGATGTGCTATAAGTATAAATCATACACTGAGTTTCAAAAGATTAGTATAAAAAAAATGCAAAATATCTCACAAATAGTTTTATATTGATTGCATGTTGATATAATAATATTTTGAATAAACTGCGTTAAATAAAATATTTTATTAAAGTTCACCTTTTTCTTTCCTTTTTTAAATAACACTACTAGAAAATTTAAAATTACATATGTGGCTCATATTATATTTCTGTTGGAAAGTGCTGTTCTAGAATATAATATTTCAATACCTAAAAACATTGAGGGGAGGATGCTAAGATAAAAATCAAAATGTAAAGAGCCCAATTTCTTACTCTTCTTTACGGAGTTCGTATTATTTCCATGTAAAGAATGAAGATTTTATTTGTCCATTTTCTGGCATATAATTATTATTCTGATTTTCTCAGGCTTGACTGAATTCACAGGTAAGATTGACCTGTTTTATCTTAAGTTTGCATTATCGTAGCTATGTTTTAAAGTTGTAGTCCTCCTGAAAAGAGATGTGTAGGTTCTTTAGAGGTGGTATCTCCATTTTATAGTCCAGACTAAAACGCTTATTTTCTCATGGGCCATTCATCTAAAAAGACTGGATTAAATCAAAGAAGGAAACACCTAGTCAAATTCCTCAGTAAGCATTGCATAAATCAATAGAGGTAATATATTCAACACATTTGTTAAGTACTTTTTGCACTGGTCAGTAGGGCTTTAAGATGACAATATGCTGAGCCTATCTTTGAGGAGTGTATAGTTTAGAGAGGAAGAGGACACATAAACAATTAATTTCAAAATCATGTGGTAAATTCTCTGATAAAGAGAAACACTGGGTGCAATAGATGCCCCCCCAAAAAAGAACCAGACCCAGCCTGGTTAATGCCGGTGTATGTGTGTGTGCGTCTGTTGTGGGGTGATGTGGTCGGGGGAGAAGTAGTCAGGCAGCAGCTAATGCTATGTCTCCAATTACAGATTGATGTTATTGATTACTTAATTGTTAGGCCTTCCCTGCTTATCGCCACCTCGTGACAGATATACTAGATTAGTTTGAATGTCATCACTTTCTCCTTATCATGATTTTCACTACAATTGTCCCGAACGTTTGTGCTAAAAAGGAGTAACGAGATCAAGGGGATAAGACAGCTGTGATCAAGATATTCTGCATTTCTTTACTTTCTAAGAAACTATCTGCCATCAAAAAAGGGAAGATACCTTTTGTCCTTAACTCTGATGGCCTGGTTTGCTGTGGTTACTCAGCCAACCATCCCTGCCGGTCTGTACTACCCACTCAAGCACCTCTCTGAACAACGGAACAAATCCAAGATGACGTCTTGAGAAAGTCTTGGACCTGCTTGCAGGATTCCTGTAGGGCCCATCTTTGGAAGGATCAGAAGGCCATTTTTTAGGTTAAAGAAGAGGCAAGTCTTCTCAAATGCCTGATGGAATGTCCAAACTTTGTCATCTGCATATCCAGTATCAAAAGTTTGTGGAAATTTCTTCCATTAGGAAGCAGCTTTGGATCTGGCCACAGACTTGAAATGTAAATTAGTGAATTGCAATTCCTATCCAGATCATAGATACAGGAATTATTATTCAAGGAGAAGGAGTTCACATAAAAACGGAGAGTAGAGTGGTGGTTCCCAGGGGCTGGGGGTGGGGGAATTGGAGACCTGTTGTTTAAGGGGACAAACTTGCAGCTTGTAGACAAATAAGTCCTGGAGATCTAATGCACAGTGTAGTGAAGATGGACAATGATATTGTATTATAATCAACAGACTTATTAAGAGACTAGATCTTAATCATTCCCACCATATACACAAAGAAGAAATGATAACTAAATGACCCGATAGAGCAGCTAACTGTAGCTAAATGGCAATCATATTACTATATATGAATGTAGTGAATCAACATGTTGTACACTTTAAATTTACACAACTTTTTATGTCAAATATATTTCAATTGAAAAAAGGAACAGGAGTTTAAAGAATTCTAAATGTAACGATTTTTATTAAATAGGATTATCAGAAAGCAACAGGCCTACACCCCTTCTCCAACTGCAAAATGTCTTTACCTGAGATAAGTTTTCAGCCCAAGTCCTTGGCTTATACCAAACATTTAATATAGTTTATAATAATAATAATTATTATTATTCTACATTTTCTATTAAGCCAGCATTACAGAGATAATTCATTATGTAGTTCAATGACCTTCTTGCATCCAAAATTTCATTTTAACTTAGAATCTGAAAACAAAAAAGAGCTTTTTATCTGATGAAAAAATGAGAACCCATCACATTTCTTTAATTGCCTTGCTGGCCAGGAAGCCCAGGCGGAACTAATGTTCAAAGAAAGCAACTGTGTCATCCTGGGTTGGTGTGTCCCAAAGGGTGCTCTGCAGATCATTGCTGCAAGACGCTTTTCAAAAATGACCAAAAGTGTGAGAAAAGAGTAATCCCATTAGTAGATTAACAATTTTAAGAGGGTTGACAATGAATATTTTAATTTTTTTAATCCAACCTTTCCTAAATTTATTTGATTACAAAATTCTGTTATCCCAAAGCACAGAAAGTTGGGAAAGGCTGACGCAGGTCATTGACTGATCTTTCTTCTCTCCTTCTTCTAAGAGGTACTTTTTTCCTACTTCTGTATCTACCTTTCATGTCTGTATTATAAGGCACAGCTAATAAATAAATTGTGAGTGTGGATGTGTCTGTGAGTGGATGTGCGTATGTATATACAAAGACACATACACTCACAGGAAGATATGACATCTGCTCTGCTTTTTTTCCTTCCTTTCCCTATAGCTGTCCTTTGTTTATGTTTTGTGGTGTGTGTATTTATTACATAGAAGGTCTCGGTTTCAAATGGCCTGTCTAGCCGTTGATCCCCAGTCTGTTCCTAGCAGGATCTGTACGTGAACAAGAGCCTTCTAGGGAAAACCCAAAGCCCTCCAGGAAGTGGTCTGAGAGGATGTGCTGTAGTAGCTGGTGAGTTTCCTTCTGAGTCAGGGCCGCCACAAGGGGGTCCCCAGGAATTGACACCTCTCAGAAAAGATGTAAAGATGCTAGTGCTGAGGTCATGACCGCCTCTCCCTTTGTGAGGGCCCTCTAGGGCTTTTCCCAAGTCACTGAGATTAAAAGAATCCAAACCAGATTTCAGCCAGGTCCTCCCCTCTCTCAGAATTTCCCTTGCTTCCCTCTTTTAATACTTCCTTGGAGTCTCTTGGGTTGCACGGTTTGGGTTTCACATGCTTCTACCATGAAGGCACATCCCTGTGCTACAGCCAAAGCAGCATCATAAAGATGTCCCCCGGGTTCATTTTACATTTTCTCCCAAATCTTGTTCATGAGAAGACTGAGTTGAAAGGGTGCTTAAAGAATACCATATGTCTGGGGCCGCAGTAATAAAGCTACTTCACATGTTTATAGACCTTTAAGCTC